AAAAAAAAAAAAAAAAAGAGGAGGATTGGCAGATGTTAGCACAGGGCTGATCTCCTCACAAAAAAAACAAAACTACACTTACTTAACCACCACCCCCTTCCTGTAGCTGTTATCAGACATAACTGAGGACCCACCCTCTTACTTTTGGTTTAGTAATAGTTCCACATTTATCAAAATCAAGTTTCTCTCAATGTGTCCTTAAAGTCTTTACTCAGAAGTCTAAGGATAACATTAAAAGAATAAGACTTTGGAAGAAAATATTTGCAAATCATATACCTGATAAGGGACTTGTATCTAGAATATATCAAGAACTCTTACTGGGGATGTAATGTACAGCATGTTGACTATAGTTAATAATACTGTATTGCATATTGAAAGTCACTAAGAGAGTAGATCTTAAAAGTTCTCATCACAAGAAAAAAATTTTGTAACTACATATGGTGATGAATGTTAACTAGACTTATTATGGTGATAATTTCACAATATATACAAATATCCGATCATTATGTTGTACACCTGAAACTAATATGTTATATGTCAATTATACCTCAATTAAAAAAAAAAGAACACTTACAACTCAATAAAGATAACCCAGGGGCCGGCCCGGTGGCATAATGGTTTGAGTTCACACACTCCACTTTGGTGGCCTGGGGTTCATGGGTTCAGATCCCAAGCATGGACCTGCGCACCGCTTATCAAGCCATGCTGTGGCAGGCATCCCACATAAGGTAGAGGAAGATGGGCATGGATGTTAGCCCAGAGCCAATCTTCCTCAGCAGAAAGAGGAGGATTGGCAACAGATGTTAGCTAAAGGCTAATCTTCCTCAACAAAAAAAAAAAAAAGGAAAAAAAGACATCCCAATTGAAAAACGGGCAAAGGATCTGAATAGACATTTCTCCAAAGACACACAAATAGCCAGTGAGCACAGGAAAACATATTCAACATCGTTAGTCATTAGGGAAATGAAAATCAAAACCACAATGAGTTACCACTTCACATCCACTACGGTAGCTACAAATAGATGATATCAAGTGTTGGCAAGAATGTGGAGAAATTGGAACCCTGCTGCTGAGAACGTAAAATGGTTGCTTTGGAAAACAGCCATGAGCTTAACATCCATTGCCAATCCACCTCTTTTTTGCTGAGAAAGATTGGCCCTGAGCTAACATCTGTGCCCATCTTCCTCGATTTTACATATGGGACACCGCCACAGCATGGCTTGATGAGCGGGGCGTAGACCCACGTCCAGGATCTGAATCTGCAAACCCCAGGCCGCTGAAGCATGGGAACTTAACCACTACGCCACCAGGCCAGCCCCTGATGGATGTTAACTAGACTTATTATGGTGATCACTTTGCAATATATACAAATATCGAATCATTATGTTGTACATCTGAAACTAACAATGTCGTATGTCAGTTATACCTAAATTTTAAAAAATGTAAAAAAAAAAAAAAAGTGTAAGACTTCACTGATTATCCCCAAGTGCCCTTTAAACACTTCCATTTGGATGCCCATCTCATTATTACCTCAAACTCAACATGATCCAATCGATCATTCTCTTACCTTCCAAGTTTTACTTACAGACTCATCTATACCACACAGTTACCTCTTTCTGCATGCCGCATAAAGGCTACCCTCCTCTGCCGGTGCTGCAGGCCTTGCACGACCTGGTCTAGTCTCCACCTTGCTGCCCACCTTCTCTCAGTACTGTCTTAGGAGCACACAGTGTTCATATTCTTCTCTTGTCCTCCCTTCACATTGCTTCCCTTACTAGTATATCCTATCCTGTCTAAATTCAATGGCTCCTATAGAGTCCAAATTATCTTGCAGAATTTTCCGTATTCAGTAATCATATTACCTACACTGATCTCTGCCCAGCTAGCTGACAGTCCTTAAATGTAAGAGCCAGCATTTACTCTTCTCAACTTAATAAACAAATATTTATGGAAGGCCTATTATGTAAAAGGTTTTGTACACAGGGGAACACAATAATGTTTCTGTCTTCATGCAGTTATCATAGAGAAAAGAGAAACAGAAGAACAACTAGACACGCAACAAACAAAACACCGTCAGGTCTCAGTGGACAGAGAGCTCTCATTTGGTAGTAGTGATATCAAGAAAGACTTCACACAAAAGTTGGATCTACCTTCCCTGCTTATTTCAGATGGCTATAGTAAGGTCAAATCATATACTTTTTTATAAAAAGCATTTGTAAAATCCTATTCTCATGTAATACTATAGTTTTTATTTTAATTATTCAATTCCTTATTACCACAGATAACTAAGAACCAGAAACAATATTCTGCATTTGATAAACATTAAATTTCATCTACTTAGTAATCTTTATAGAGCCTAATACATACCATTTCCCCTCCACACTTCAGCTAAATGACAACTGCCTTCTCCAGGTTCTTTGCAAAATTCTACAACATCTCGACATGTTGTTTCTGGTGTTATAGGAACTTCTGTTAAAATCTGTTCATTGTTGCTCAAGAACACAGTTAATATCATCTGTAAGAGAAAAGATTAAATTAAACCTACAACTTACCGTCATTTTCATAGAGAGATTAATCCTAAATTGAAAGTGATCTCCCCACCTCCCTCCTCCCACACCCCCACTCCACTCACCTCCACCCAGTCCCACCCCCCAACTCCCCACCCCAGGGGCCAAAACGTCTACAGGATTAGTTTTTGGAAATAGATAAGCTGATTCTAAAGTTCATGTAGAAAAATTAAATAAGAAAAGTCAGGAAAATTCCAAAAGAGAAGAGTTTTAGAAGGGAACCAGCACTACCAGATATTATAAAACCTCAAAACAATATGGCGCTAGCAACATAAATAGATCAAAGGGACAAATTAGGAAGTCTAGAAACAGAAAATGGTAAATGATGGAGGAGGCATCTCAAAAGCAAGGAGGGAAAAGACTATACAATGGATGATGTTTGAGCAATTAAAATCCCCATCTGGAAAAAAAATTTGGATTCATACTGCACATCATACACTAGCATAAGTTCCTGATAGATCAAATACTTAAATATAAATCATAAAATTATAAAAGTTCTAGAATAAAACTAGGTAAATTCCTTTTTATAACCTTGGAGTACAGAAGCTCTTTCTAACTATGACTCAAAGATGAGACCCATCAAAAAAAAGACTGATACATTCAAGTAATTAAATATAAGAATCTTGGGCCGGCCCCGTGGCTTAGCAGTTAAGTGTGCACGCTCCACTGCTGGCGGCCCGGGTTCGGATCCCGGGTGCGCACCGATGCACCGCTTCTCCGGCCATGCTGAGGCCTTGTCCCACATACAGCAACTAGAAGGATGTGCAACTATGACATACAACTATCTACTGGGGCTCTGGGGAGATAAAAAAAAAGCAGGAGGATTGGCAATAGATGTTAGCTCAGAGCCGGTCTTCCTCAGCAAAAAAAAAAGAGGAGGATTAGCATGGATGTTAGCTCAGGGCTGATCTTCCTCACAAAAATAAATAAATAAATAAATAAAATTGTTAAATATAAGAATATTTTACAATGCAAAAAAGACAAATTAAGGAAAAATATTTGCAATTCATATTACAAATAAAAGGCTAATCTCAATATATAAAGGAATCCTAAAAATTGGTAACAAAAAGACCAAAAATTCAATTTATTTTTAAAAATTGGCTGAGGAAATGAAATAATATATCACAGTAAAAGAAATGCAAATGGCCCTTAAACATGAAAATACATTATAATGTATTTGAAAAAAACTTTCCAGCATTATTGTTATTCAAATCTTTAAAAAAATCCTACCACCTTGATCTAAGATCCGGAGACCACATCAGAAGGGATTTTTTTAAACATTACTTCTAAAGTACAATTTAAACCAAAGATTTTCTTTAATCAGACAGTAATATAAAGTATTTGCTTAATCTTTGATCAAAGTCAGAAACAAAATCTGCATTTGTCCCAAAATTCTCCTCTCACTTAAAATCTCAGCTGTCAAGTAAGTATTTTAGTTCATTATTAAAATATTTTTTTCTTAGAAGTGCCCTAAATTCCTAAATTTTGATATTAAACGTCTTTATACAGCTGGTCAGATTTTATGTTACCAAAATTGATAACAGTTATGAACTAGTTTCCTTGCAATTAATCTCCCCTCACTCCAACCTACCCCTCACCGTTGCCAGTTCATTCTTTGAACATAAATCAAGTAAAGTTATTCCCTGGCTTAAAATATTCAAGGGCTCTACACTGCCAGCAGCCCTTCCCAAAACATTTTTTCTGGTATATAAACAGGAAACAGGTTTCTTTACTGAGCACTTAGTCTAACATTGTAATGTTCATGTGCATCTCTAACTTTTTCCCCCTCTGAGACTCACATGAGGCTTGGATTTCCACAGAACACCCTTTGAGAAAGCCTAGACTATAGGATAAACCGTTAACTCCTAGCACAGCAAACACGATTCCTCACAACCTTTCTGGCCTGCAGTCCTAGTGCCTTCCAGCCCGCACTGAACCCTGCTCCCTCAACTCCAATCAAGTTCTCTCAGGCCCAAGGCCCTCTGCCCCAGTGCCCTTCCTGTTTGCCTGTAAACTCCTATTCCCCCTTCAAAAGAAAACTCAGCTCATAGGCTACCACCTTTGTAAAACCTCCCTTCACCACCTCCTCTCACCACGGAGGCTACATGATCCCTCCTTTGTGATCCAGGAACTCTTCACACATATCTTTATTACATCACAGCATTAACACGTCTCCCTCCCCTCACCAGGCTCTATGCTCCTCCAAGCAATTCACTTTTGAATCTTTCATTTACCATTGCCTGACACATGCAAGGCACGCTAAAATCTGGTTGACCCCATGAATGACACACAAAACCCGAAGTCTCCATCATACCGGAGAACTGAGGAAATACTGCGTATAATCTAAGTAAGATACATCCAGTCTGTTCCATAAACAAGCATTTTTTCTTCAGTTCTTCTTAGGTATTATAAACACATTTATATTTAACAAGAAGTTAAATAGTTATTTCTGCTCACTAACCCATAAGAGGAATTTATAAAAAATTGGGGGCTTTTGATTACTGAAATGAATGGCCTGGAATCTATAAAACTGAGAATAAAACAGGTAATTCCTGAATCCAGTAGAAACAAGTCCAGAAATGAAGAGTCTTAATGTTGTAACAGTTCCACCAGAACAAACGGAACATATTTTTATTCCTGTTTACACACATTTACTTTACACTTCTTTTTTTTTTTT